CCACCCTTTGGGTCAAGGTGCGCCTCCTATTTCTACCTTCGTCCTCTGATTTGCGATTCACTGCTGATTCTGTAGAAACCCACTGAGTTGGCTTTGTCAGTGCCTTTAAGGATTTTGAATATTTGAACCAGGTTCCTTCGTAGTCTTCACTGTTCAAGACTAAAGGTTTTCAACGGTTTTCACCCGTCATGGATCATTCAAGCACAGGAGTGCTCCCGGTACCTCTTATCTAGACATATTTTCCCATTGCACTGTCTAGGCAGTGACGGCAAATGTTTACGCGATCATCAAATTCGAAATAATAAAATGGATACCATTTTTATGGACACCTCTTACCAAAGCTTCATGATGTGATAAGGGTTAATCTGGCTTGTAAAAGGCATTAATGCACACAGAGGGTCGTGGGAGCTTTCTTTCTGACTTCTGTTCCACTTGCCAGTTAAGTGACAGTGCCTGCTCCTATCTGAATGATATACAGGCAAGGAAATATAAGGCAGCATAAAGCACTGATTAAGAGCAGAGGTTCACTAACCTTCCCCACCTTTTCTATGGGAAACGCATGACAAAGTGAAGGCCGTGCCATGGCAAGAATCAAACCCAAATCTCAGCTGTAAGCCACAGAAAGGTGTTGGCCGCCTATGGGAACGGAGGCCAGCAGAACGATGAGCCATCCTCAGCTGACACGTTACCCAATTGGCTGATCTGAGGCGGTGGCTATGTGGCTCAGGATCTGTGCCTGTGGCTGGAAGGCTGCTGGTTCAAATCCCGTGGCCGGCAGGGGAATCCTACTCCGTTGGGCCCCTGAGCAAGGCCCTTAACCCCAGCTGCTCCCGTGGGCGCTGTATAAATGGCTGACCCTGCGCTCTGACCCCAAGGTTCTCTCTCTGTCTGTGTGTCTCATGGAGAGCAGGTATGGGAAATAAGACAAAATCCCTAATACAAGATATTGTATACAGCCAATAAAGTGATCTTATCTTATCTGTGCACTCCCCCAATTTCCTGCAGCGCACCCTGCATTGGAAATGCAACTTTCCCGGTTAAAGACAGAATTCTCAAGAAGCAGCCGCTCATTCCTGGAGTGATCCCTACAGATCCCTTCGATCACATACAGCCAGAAGCCGTACCCCCCCCTGTAACTCACAGCTGGCAGCCCCACTGGAGCCCAGCAGGTGTTAGTCTGGTCAGTATCTGGAGACTCCTGGGAAAGCTGAGGTTGCTGCTGGAAAAGGAGTCCCCATTTACCTGTCAAGTGCCAGGAAACACTAAATACATTTAAGGAGTTATTAATATTAAAAATATTAATGGTATTAATAGATAGCCTGAGAAGAACAGATATCTGAAACCTCCACCCCTTTGCTGGTAATGAGAAGGAGGTGAAGCTCTGGTAGTGAGAGTATGTGCACTTGAAAAGGAACCCGCAGCTGAAACATTTGGGCGTTTTTCTTTTCTCATTTTCAGCATGAAATCAGCTACTGCTGGGTCCTTAAAAAAAGGCCAAAGTCCAGCCGCTCACACACCTGCTAGTACAACAGAGGGTGGGGCAGATTCCTGAAAAACAGCGCTTAAGTCAACAGGGCTATGAAGAGGGCGAGACAGAAGTAGAAAGATA